CAAGAAAGAAAATTCAATAACTCAAATCAAATCTATTACGATTCACTAGCAAATTCAAGACAAACTACTTGTAATCAACAGAAAATTCCCACACATGAGTACAGAGCAAAAGTAACTAATCTTCTCAAACTTATTTCAAACATTTTCACAAAACAAATTCCCGTTGTCACCAAAATTCTCATTAAAATTCACTTTCTACAATTCACAAGACTAACTCAATTTCTACTGTTTAAACAATTCTCACATGACAACTCTTCACAAACTTAAAACTCAGAAGATAACTAATCTCAATTACTCTGACTCATTAAACTAATTAGAACTTCACTCAAGCTGAAGAATTCAATCCAAAGAAAAAAAAAATTAAATATGCAAACATCACTATTGCTGATCTCAGGCAAAAATTCAAATCTAACCCATGTTCACTTTAAAACAGAATTTTGCAATAAAAAAAACAATCTACAATTTTTACTCATTCATTTGTATCATTATGCCTTAAGAACTTAGCTCAATACTAAATTAAATTTTCTAACACATTACACAATATACTGGAATCATATCAAAACATTGTAAATCAAAAAAATAATAAGATACTTGGTAAGGTAGATAATCATGAAAACATTACATACATTTCACAAAATATTATTCAATTAAGTCAAAAAAAATCAAAATTTCTCTAACGTTACCCCTCACAATTACACATTTCACAAGATTCTAGGTTAAATAATTAGCAAACACACACACAAAAAAAAAAATTTCTAGCTACGCATAGCTATGGCTTGTCTCATTCAGTAAAATAATTAGAGTCTTTAATCTCTTTCTCTTAGAAGTGCTCAAAAAATGAGTCCAGTTTTTAAAGACAAGCACTCGAAACTTGTATACAAGGATACACAAATAGCATAGGATTATCGTGAAATAATTCATTTTCCATCTTGTATCAGAAATCAGAAATCAAAAATATACATCCAGAAAACTCTCAAGGATTTTCAACAGTAAAAATGTACAGTACCTATTCTGCTACATAAAAATATTTTTCCTAATTTTAAAGTTCAATTCTGTTTGCCTAACGTTAAAGTCCAAAATTCCTGAAATTCACACACATTTTCAAAATTTATCACTCTCGTATTAACAAATAAGCAAACACAAATCAAAAACTTTAATCCTAGCACATAGACTTAACTCCTTCATTAAAACAGTAAATTACACAAAATAGGTAAAATTCAAAATCCAAATTCAATTCTCGATCCGATCCCCACCCACCCCACTAAATTACAACACAAATTCTTCAATTCATTTACTTTTTGATTAAATTCATATTTGCAAACTATACACCTTTTAATTTAACGGGTACCCGTCTATACTTTCTAAGAGGTTAAGGAAAACAATTATTTGCAATTCACATCTGTTCTAAGGAAGATTAACAAACAACTTAAATTATTACATCCTAATTCATATAAAAACCTTAAGGTTTGTCTCGGTAATTTAGAAGGGGAAAAAGGAAGCAATTCATTTTCAGTAGACTGAATTTAAGATTCAATTTTAGGTAAAGTTCCAATTTCCAAAAGTTCTAAGGAAAATTGATAAAGCACTTATCTGTGAGTTTTGACGACTTGAAACGCACCCGGAAAGGTATTGGGCTTGCCTTGCATTCTGGGAGAAAATTCAAGGGGTTATAATTACACCATAATTCCTAAAAAAATTCATTCCGTAAGGGGAACACAGGCGTCTACGGGAGTCTACGCTTTCGGTTGCCACTGGCCGATAATTCCGGATAACCCCCCGACTCCAATGATCTTTTCAGCAACACCAATCCGCTTCGCTCAGCAGCTCGCAGAAAACAAGCCCTCGAAACCAGCACCCGAGCAGAATCTTCAAGCTCGCAGTCAGGATGTCGAGTATCAAAAAATCTCATGTTGGCCGGGGTGGAACTTGGCCAATAATTTTGGAAATTAATACTTCATACTCGCTGGATCATTTTTTTTCTTTTCGACAGCAAGGCGACGGCCCGATAGTGTCCTCCGTGATCCGCCTGACTCACCACTTATTCATCCACAGAAACTTAACAAATCCTTCAGCCTTGGAAAGTCCGGCAAAAAAAGTCTTAATCCTGAAAGTCCTTTGAAAGTCTTAAATCCTTCAACAAAACTAGTCCAAAGTCGGGCAAAAAGTAACGTTCCAAAAGTCTTTAAGTTTCAGCAAGCAAGTAAGTGATTCCAAATCGAATTTTCCTTCGTCTCCTTCACCAACGCGGGCTCCCACTATGGCTTCAATTATCGCCCCCTTAATTATGGCAAAATCTTGCGTTTTCAACTCCTGCGAAAATAAGGGTGATCGCGCATGCGCGCCCTTCTTCACTTAGCCAACAACCGGACCCTCAATCGCCAAAAACCTGAATGACTTACATCGAAAGTAGCAACCTTTGACCTTCTGTCACGTACTTCCTCTCTTAAGGTCAACTAACAATGAAAATTCTTTCTCGAACATTCTAAAGGACAAAGCGCGCGAAATCATGACTTGGCAAAAATTGCCTCCCTTTCCCTGCTTCTTTTCACAATGAATCAAAAGTTGTACAAAATTTGCAAATAAAAGAAAAATAAATAATATTCTTTAAACTAAATAATATTTCCCAGAAGCATCTGTTTTTCCCCAAAAAATTAAAGTATTAAAATAAATAATTCAGAATCAAATAAAATTAAGATTTCCATAAATTAGAAAATCATTCACCTAGTTTTTATAACGCGATCAGACAAATTCTCTACACAACATTAGCGACGCTGACTGCCGTACCGAAGCATCCGGCTACGAATCCCGGAAAACGCATGGATGCTTGTAAATGTATAGCGGTACTCTAAATATGCGGCGAGCCGAAAGTCCTTTCGAGAGGTTGTTGGTAGAGCAAGAAATTTGATGATGAAAAATTTGCATAAATCTATGTCTATTTCTCGCATTGTGATAAAACAATGATATATAGAGCCATCGAATTTTCAATGACGTAATCCTTCTACGAATATGGCATGTGGAAGACCAAATTTGAAATTTGGAATTTGTTTTATTATCGATTTCATATTTTTTAAAACTTTAACGAATTGAGTAACAAACTCAACGACTTAAGAGAAAGCGATGGCAACACTCTACGGAGGAGGGGGGAATTTTTATCTCCAGCGGCCCCGGAACTGTGTATCGGAAATTCTAAAGATATGCTCATTTTAAAATTATTTTGCGACATTGCAACTGAACTGAATTTTATGGTTTATGTGCGAGGAATATGATATTTAATAAATAAAGGTAACACACAAAACGTTAAAAAAGCGGCCCTTTTGACGTAATTTGAAATCTAAAACCTTTCAGATTTTTTTGGGGGGAGGGGGCATTGTATTTTATTTATTTTATTTTTTACCTTTATTTTATTTTTTTAATATCAATTTTGAATATCAATGCACTTAAAAATTTAGCCACCACTTGTGGGGATAAAACTAAAGTAACAGGCATCTTCAAATTTAAAACGTATATAAAAACTAAACAATTTAAAACGTAAAAGTCAAAAACTAAACAATTTAAATCGAAGTTGGCTCAAATCTCAAACCGGCGTAATAATTTAAATGTCGGCAGCGAATAATAGAAAGCCAAATAATTACAAATTTATCAGAGACGGCAGAACTAAAGTAACGTATCCTTGAGAAACAGAAATACGCTCTGGCTTGCAATCAGAAAAGCTCGGCTTTAGTACTCTCTATCTCAATTTACATTCTGCTGGAGAAACGGAAAGGAGAAGTTATAGTAAAGAACGAAATCATAATAACTGGTTAATTTCAAATAATAATCCTTCAAATGCATAAATTAATTTCTGTTGAAAAATAATTTTTAGTATAAAACAAAGGAATAAATTTTTGTTTTATTTCAATAGAAAAAAATGCATAGAAATGTGTAATTTTATCTTGCTCAAAGTATTGCAAAATCCGATTATGAGTAAGCAGTTGATTATGCATCAATACACCAACAGGGTTAGAACTGTTGGATTATATATCATAAAAAAGAACGAAATTTATTTTGTTAAATATCAAAAGAAATGGCTTTCATAAAGTATGAAATTGATAAATCCTTTTTTCTCGCTTTCAGTTCTGCAACGTTGTAAGTTATTTCTTCATAATTAATATTTTCCAAAGTATTTTATTCGATGTACAGTAAAGAAATTAATTTTGATTGGCTCAGTGAGCTTCGAATATAATTTAAAACTGAAAATAAAAATACCATTCCCAATGTCGAGCTCCATTCTTGCAGTTAGCCAGCACAGCAACTGTTTACATAGAGTGGATCATTTATAACAATATGTGTAAATAAGAAACGACACCTGTAGATTTTAATAAAAGGAAATGTTTATTTTTTAAAGTATAACATACTTTTCCTCCTTATAACTGACACATCTGGGAGCTAATAACTAAAGTCAATGAAATATGGCGAACACCAACTTGTTAATGAAGAAACACACACATAAGAATAAAAGTGAGATATTTACTTTTAAGCTACATTACTCGCGCCCAGAGTTCAAGTACCAACGAAATTTCATTTAGTCACATGACCTGTAAAATTGAAATTAATGTTTACATTTGGGTGAATTTCGCATGAGGTGACCTAGAGCTAGCGCTCTGTTTGAAGAATGAATCACGCCATATCTTACAAAAGTAGATATTTTGACCGGGTGCTAGACATTTGTTTCGTCTATGCCATGGTCCGGTGCTGCATATATTTCTCTATTTTAACAAAGCTTCGATTTGTATCTTTAATTAAATTCTTAAAATATAGTCTTGGTGGTTATTTAATCCTTAATTTATATAATATGAAACTTTTATGCTTATTTCATTCTTTTAATAAAATATCTTTTTTTTTTTCAGTCTTGATAGTTGTACAATATTTTATCATAAATGTTCCCTTCATTATTTATTTTTAAAGATATTTTCCTCGTACAAATAGAACTAACCCTGCAAAAATGAGCAACTCTTACTTACCGCCAGTGAGCGTTAGTGTTGCAAAGACGTATTCTGCGTCTGTAGATCCCGCATCATTTCTCGCTGTCATCAACAAAGAATACCAAGCCCCTGGTGTGAGGTCAGTTATCGTAATGGTCTGTTGTTCGGGAATAATGTTGTTGCTAACCAGTGTCCATTCATGATGTCCAGCTGCCTTGTACTGGATGACAAAGAATGTGATGGGACATCCCCCATTATGCCAGCTGTTGAGGTTGACAGTCACGGTCGTTTTGTTGACGGATAGCAGCATTCTCTTATCAGGAGCAATGGGAGCTACGAGAAGAAACCATTTAGAACTTAATATAAAATCTTGACCGACAAACACTGAGAAATCTTACGGATAATATAATTACTTGCCTAAAGTTAAAATTTTTGCAAGATTCGAAACCTCAGAGGTGATAGATGTTTCTGAATTTAAGTAATTTATTGAATATTTAAATAATTTATTATAAAATCTTTTGGATTATAATATTTTTCAAAAATTTAGAATAGCGTGCTTGGTAATGGAACTATTCGTTTTAACAGAAATCGTATTCATTGATGTAATTCTTCCTTGTGGCCTATTCCCATTGTCAGTTTTTTTTTTTTTTTTTTTTTTTTTTTTTTTGTGCATTATTTAGAAATTTTTCGTTTGTTTATATCTTGTATTTACTTGCGCATTTTCCCCATAGCTTTTTAACTCAAAATTCAGAAAATGTTTTAAATAATTCACGCAATTTTTTCTTTTCTTAAGATATTCAGAAAGCGAGCTTCTCTAAATTTTAAACAGATTTGTCAAGATTGATTGTTTTCGTTAAACTAATTGATTTGCTGATGGAATACGGATGCATGCGTCCTGACTGATGAGTCAGTAATATAAAAGAGCTTTAAGAAAACGGAGCTATATAATCTTCTCGATGATTTTCCGACTGATTTTGATTTATTGCATGTGAGAAGACAGAATGAACTGTGTCGAAGACGATCACAATAGGCGACGAACTGCTAGCTGTGCAAACGACACAGACCCATGGGACCCATGGGACTAAGACCTATGGGTTTAAGGCTGGACAATAATAATATAAATGACGATATCTTATTAGACAAAATAATGTTAATATCATTATGTGTTCTGATTCGAATGTAGGTTTTCTTTAAGTAAATATCATTTCGGCCACTGATGAGACAAATAGCTGAGGTAAATGTCTCGATACATTTAGTGATCGTATGATAAAATATGTTATATCTTTTATGTTTTATGTTGTTATTGTCTTTCATATCTCATTTCAAATGAATCGAAATTAAGAAATGGAAGATTCATATGATAATTATATGAGAAGAAAGTTTGCAGATGTTTTCCTGGCATTTATATTAGCAAGAGAAAACTGTTTCTTCCCTTTTAGCACAAATGATACAACTGATTAGTCGCTATACATATAAGAATACAAACTTATTTTCCATCGTTACTAAATTACAACAGAAAGAAACAAAATACAAAAAGAAATAAATTTATTTATTACTTTAATTCATGCTTAAAGTGAAGAGAACTGAAGTATGTGGGACTACATTTAATTTATCCAACAGTTTATTCTATTTTTCAAGTAACGTTTCCTAATATTATCGTTTTTCAACTCCCGTTTTCTTACCAAAATGGTAATGAGTATTCAAATGGGGTTGAAAGAAGTTAATATTAAAGGCAAAGTTTTAGAAGGTGAATTCAGAATGAGAGCAGAGCGTGTTCCGGATCCCTGAAGACCACGTTGTTTCTTTGATTTACTAGTGATTAGATTTCTGTGGCGATGAGGGCTTCTAGCCATAAGCTTGTTTTACGCCGAATTTTACGAGTGAGAGCCTACCTGCGCTTTAAGTAATCTGTGAAACGCCGTCTGGCTAAATAAATTATATTTTATTTTTAGTTACTTGTTACCTTTTGCGGTAAACCAGAATTATTGTCTTTTGTAAGCGCCCGAGTCGGTGCCAACTGTGAAAGATAATGAATTAATAAAGGGTTTTTTACACCCTACTCTGGAATTTGTCGTACTTAAAACTTGAGGATATTTCCTCACACAGTCTTCTAGCATCTCATTAGTTTATGCTTGCTAAGAACAGGAGACGCTATAAGTAATTATAATGATAATATGTTACAAATAAATAGTTTCTGGTAATTGTTGAAGCAGTTATTGTATAAGATTATGGAGATATTTAGAATTTACATCTTATAAATTTTACGATTAATTTTGTAAGGTTTATTTTAAGTTTTTAACAGTTATCGTTTTAGTTAAAGCTACTTTCCTGTCGCTTCTAATTTCAGCTTGCAAATTTCCTGCCAGAGTATGTTTTTAGAATCGTGGTTAAATGCAAATGAAAGAAGAGCAGTACTTAAGTCGAAGTATAAGGTATTTCTCCTGCCTTAGCCTGCCTTCGTGATGTAGTGGTCAGCATGCTCGACGCGTATTCGAGAAGTCCATGATTCGACTCCTGGCGAGGGACTTTAATCACGGCTCATTTCACGGAATCGAAATGCTCATTTTGCCTCTCTCCTGCTTCCAAATTACCTAATGACACTACAGTGGCGCCCGAACTAAAATGATTCTCCACATCCATGATTTGGCGATTGAGTCCCCTAAAACGCCAGTTGCCCTTTAAAAGAGGGAGCATATAAGGTATTTCTCCCGCCTTCTTAGCATGCCTTCGTAGTGTAGTGGTCAGCACGCTGGGCGCGTATTCCACAGGTCCGTGGTTCGATTATCGGAGAAGGCGTTGCTCATTTTTCATTTCCTCTGCTTCCAAAAAAATTCTAATGGCTCTACAGAAGTTCCACTGACTTCGTTAGAGAGGCAGAGGTTCTGACTAGCGCGCGTTCGCCTTTTTCGGATACTCTCTCTCTAAGCTGTTACTGCGCTCGGCCGTATTTCAGGCCCTTGATAGCTTTGCCGTTTCGTTAGCATTTAAGGGGCCAACTCCTGTAGAAACATTAGTTAAGTTTTATTTCTTAGTTTTCTTGAGTTCAAGCCCAAGTAGAGGTTTTTCTTTACGTTCTGAGGAAGGACTATCTGTAAAACCTTATTTTGAGCAATAAAGGGTAATTAACCCTTCCTGAGTTTACGTTTCTATTTTCTGAACTAAGTGATTATTCGATTACCAGTTCTCAACTTTCCACACGCATAGCTGTAAATTCTAAGTTGGAACAGTAATTTCCTACAGAGTATTAGTTTTGGCAATTACGCATAGTCGCCACTTTAATAAGGAAAATTGTTTGTGCTCTTAATGAAAATCGAGTTGTAGAAAATTTAAGGCATGCAATGGGGACTGTTTAATTGATGTATGTATATGAATTAATTAAACATGTGCAATATATATCGTTTTTCTTATTTATTGCTGAACTAAAAATAACATTACTGAAAGACATTTTTGGAATGCTTTATGACTAAAGAAGGCACTGCTTTTTAATGAATTTTTATTAATATATTTTCGAATACATTATTAATATATGATGGCAGTGCTTTTTAATGCAGCGGTACCTTCACATATATTTATGAATTATGTAGATAATAAAAAATATGAAAATCTATGAGCAATGTTATTTTCCTTCTCAAACCTATCCGTTAATGTTTTTGAAGTATAAGAAATGAAACATAATAAACCAACTCTACGTAATTTTGTGACCGATTCCAAGAAGTAAGTATCTGACTTTATTAATAGAAGCAGTTAGAACGCATAAAAATGCTAAATTAAGAAATAGTAGTAACAATAAAATGTAATTAACATGCCATTATTACGTAAAATTATATGTAATTGAACCACACAGGACTCATAAAAACCTCGTAACGTAAATGGAGATATAATATTTTAAGAGGCCGTTGCTATGATTCATCCGGTAAATTAACCTCAAAACACCCCTTCTCCCATGTTCTGCGTTTCCTGTCGAACTGGAACATGCCACATTTTCCATTTGCAGCTCTTAATCTATAATGAAAAATTTGTTCATGAATGCCTTTAAAGCTGCGTAACAGACCACGCCTCTTTAGCTTGGTAAAGAAGCTAAAAGCACGAAAGATACTGTACAGATGGGAATACTCCCACAATTAAAAGTTTTTCAGTTTTTGTTTTTGCTTCCTTTCCTGTCCTTTGCCTTTTTCGCTAGCAAGTAGCTCTCAGAAACAGAGCAATAATAGTTTTACTGCTACTTTTTCTTTCTTCTTTATATTCGAACAGTAATGTTCTTCGGAAGACATTAAAACCTGACGCATTTTTGCGATCAATATATAAAGAACATTTTGGGAAGGTTTCAAGATAGCAGCTTGTTTTTCTTTTCAGCAAAAAATGAAGATAACTTTGATTTTTTATTCATAATTTATGAGCGAAATATTATTTTTTAGAAAGTAAAATGCAGCTAGACGTGATAAAATACTTGTCAGGAGCATAATCGAGAAAGACCGATTTTACAGAAGTTCAAAATTACTACCCATTTAGATAATTTCACCATTTTTAGAGTCTTCGTTTTCCCAAGCATTCTTTTTATGTCAAATGAATGCTATTAAATTCTCGTGTTAACAATCTCGAAGTGTAATACATAGTTTCGATTTATTTCTTATGGTGTGAGAAATACACGAGATAAACAAAATATTTCATTTATTATGGTGTCTGGGTTTGTTTATTAGCTTATGTCAAAGCAATCGAGGGCTATCTTCTTAAAAGGAGGGATGGCTTTGTGGAGGATTTTCTGCGAAAATTGGCTTGTGTACAGGTTACACACGAGGAAACCCACAAAAACTGCCACTGCCATTCAATGTTCAGCGAGTTTACATCGTGGCCGCTGGTGGACCCTAATTATGGAGTGGAGAAAAAAAAAAAAAAAAAACACGGTACAATTGGTTAGCGTCGCTGACTGCCGTACGGAAGTGCCCTTCGAATCCCGGAGAAGACATGGATGTTTGCAAATGTATAATGTCGGTGCGGCATGGCGGCACTCCAAGTATGAGACGATTCCAAAGTCCTCTCGTGGTTTGGTGAAAGGGGAGAGGGGTGGGAGATATTTAAGCCATCCCTTTAAGTTATGATGTATCGAAGTGGACAAGTAGTGTTTACTTGAATAATGAACTTAACAAAAGTGTACTTTGAATTTATCAAAAGTTAACTTAGAATTCAGTTTATATGAACATAGAATAGCCTACAGAACATCATATACTTTGGGCTATGGCACTATCAACTGCCTGAACTGATGTGACTGGCTTACTCTGTGGATAACTGCAAAAAATAATACGGACACACATCATTAGGTGTGTATGATAAGAACA